TGACTGCACGTCCACAAGCATGGCCTTACACTTTGTGGGTGCAAAGTGCATACCAAAGGACGGGATGACTTTGGTCAGTTCATCCAAGAATACTTGCGCCTTTTCCTCCTCTTCGAACATGAGAACGATGTCGTCTGCATATTCCAGATCGACAAGGTTTTCTCCACAGGCTATTTGAATACCAGGGTTTTGGAGACCCTCCAGCGTTCGTCTCATTATTTCATCGACCGCAAAGTTAAAAAGGAATGGAGAGAGTGGGCATCCCTGACGGACACCGCATGGGGGCGGAAGCTTCTGGAGAGCTCTCCGTACACTCTCACACGTCCGGAAGTCTGAGAATACAAAGAAGGTATTATGTTCACAAAATTCCAGGGCATTCCTTGGTGGGCAAGCGTCTCAAGAAGAACAGACCGGTCAACCGAGTCGAATGCGCCTCGGTGTTTGCACCTCTATGACCCACGGCCGCCGACACCAGTACAACCATGAACGTTATAATAAAAAATAATATGCAACATCGGCCGTCACGTGGTGTCACCAGCCGCAGTGCTTTACACACTGCATACAGTACATACATACAGTAGGGCACTTAAGCGAAAACACGATACTGCTGACGTCACCCTTTCTGTGCCCTCGCGCGCACTCACTCTCTTCTACCCTACTCAACTCCACCTGTCTTAACGCACTAGGCCTGACCGCCTTGTTCGCCATACATCACGCTAAGCTGCAGCTTCTTTGCATCCTACTTCGCTGACAAGCCTAAACACTTCAAAATCTGCTTTTTAGGTCCGAAAAACCATGAACTAATAAAAAATAATATGCAACATCGGCCGTCACGTGGTGTCACCAGCCGCAGTGCTTTACACACTGCATACAGTACATACATACAGTAGGGCACTTAAGCGAAAACACGATACTGCTGACGTCACCCTTTCTGTGCCCTCGCGCGCACTCACTCTCTTCTACCCTACTCAACTCCACCTGTCTTAACGCACTAGGCCTGACCGCCTTGTTCGCCATACATCACGCTAAGCTGCAGCTTCTTTGCATCCTACTTCGCTGACAAGCCTAAACACTTCAAAATCTGCTTTTTAGGTCCGAAATCCGGTCTACTTAGCTACCCTCAATGTCCTCACACCGAAGCAAGTAGGATAACAAGCGGCCCTTGCTTGTATGCTGGATTCCCCCTGCATTGGTGTGTTGTCTGTCAGGAACAAGGATACAGGACACAAGTGTTGTGATTAAATTGACTGCCGAAGAGCTCTCTTCCAGCTTTCGCTTGCGAACTTCTGATGATGCAGAAGCTGCTGCAGCTGGGCATGACAGGGTGGGTAGTGCATTGACCCTCTGCATGACCTGGCAGAGGAGTATGAAGATCACCAAACGCTTGGGTGCTGTCGGTGCTACTCGCCTTCCAGGATGGGGAACGCGTGATCCTCACTGTGCCTGGTTGGAGACACTACAAGATATGGCTGCCAACCGATGTCAGTGGCGTTCTTGTTGTCAGTTTCTGTCCAGATTGCCTGAGTGAATGCCTGGAGGTGTAGGCACCTCGGAATGATTGTGTTAAGCTAGCACTAATTCCCTCCCCCATCCACCTTTATTCTTTTATTTACAATAAGGCTTTCAAATAAGTCACGGTTGTACGGCAGTGAAGCATTGGTGTTGAACACTGATGTCATGCTGTCGTTGATGATGATGATGAGTGCATTGATCGATTGAGCGGAGGCGTTTTTACCTGACTGAACACTCGCTGGTTGGCACCTCTGCGCAGTTTGTTTGGCAACGTTTTTGGAGGAATCTCGAGAAACTTATGCCCACTGCTTCTTGTTTATTGTCTGATCACGCTCCGACGGGCTATGGCTCTCATTCTAGCAAGGACAGTTCCTACGGGGAGCTAGGTGCTCTGTTACCGCCGGCTAAAAGCCCAGACATCGTTGCAGTTGTTGACATAAACGCTAGGGTAGGCAAATTAGGTAGGTTGGACGCGAGACGCACGGACAACGGAGAGCGCCTGCTTCATACGTGTACCGATCACAAATTGTTCCTTTGCAGTACATATTCACGGAAAAGCTCGACAACGTGGTGTTCACCAAGAAAAATGGAAGATACGACAGCTTTGGTGCAAAATTAATATTGGTTTAATGACAGACTATCTACTGGTTTGTCTCATCTGGAGGAAACGGAAGGCACCAGCGGCAGAGTTGACTGTAGGCACTTCCATGCATCGTTGTCAAGTCATAAACTGACCGCCTCTTGCTCGTCCGATCCAAGATTGGATGAATAGAGCTCAACGAGGCAAACGGTCCCCTGGCATACTCAGTGCATGGCCTAGCCAGCGCAGCTTGTGGAGTGTGACCAGCTGATCTATCGAGAAAGAGTGGACTGTCCAGAAATCGCAGTGAATCCTCGTCAGGAAACACTGTCCTCATCTTTGAAGACGAACACAATGTTAGTTAAACGAACTGACCATCATCGCACCATCATACAAAACTCGCCTTTCATCTTCAAAGCGCATATAGTCACGCTTAGGAACGTGTGGTCTCTTGTGTTTCAGGAAAAACTGCGTTTTTGCACACCTCGGTAGTCGTATTAGCACTGACAGAAGTGTGTATGATCAAATGAGTGCACGAATATCAAAGGCGAGAATAACTTTGCAAAAAGGCACAACACTCGGTTTCAAGGGTTGCTGTATCAGCCTACAGCAAGGACCGTATTGTTGTATGGCTGCAAGACGTGGCCTCTGCGAAGAAGTGATGACACGCATATTCAGGTACTTGACCACCGATCTATCAGAAGCTGTTATCAGATGGTGTCTACGGATCCGTAACGAGGCAATTAGGATACGGGTATTCAGCTGCGTAGCAGATGCTTAAGTCGCGGAGAACATCCACCACCGTCAATTGCGGTGGCTCGGCCATGTTACTCATACCGAAACATCGTCTACCGAGACAAGTGTTGTCCTCCGTGCTTCCCTCAGACTGGCGAAAAGTGCGAGATGGATAACGTATGAGTTGATAGAAGGGTGCAAAAGAGGTTAGGGAGAGTTTGGGTATTGTTATTGCAGTACGCCTTTAAGGATGGAATCCCTGAGTCCTCCAGCGGTTGGCTGGTGGCAATGCGAGAAATAGTAGCTAATGGATGCCGTACAGTCAGTTTCGCCTCACACTGAGCTCAAGGTAGCTCACTGGTACAGGAACGAACTTAGTGACCGGAAGGTTCATGGTTCGAGCCGAAACTCTGCATCTCGACTGTTCCTGTCCAGGCCTGGGCATTCTGGCAGTGCCTCAGCCTTAATGCTTCCTTCCGGCGGCATGGCGGCTATTCGCCGAAGGGGTGTCAAACAAAATGGAAGTCATTCATCTGTAGCACCCTTCCGGTGCCTAACTGCCATGCCATCCGAAGGAAGCACGAGGTCTTGGATACTGTCAGGTTGCCCAAGCTTAGACGGGGGAAGTCGACAGGCAGATGTCGAGTTCGAACCACGGACCCTCCGATCAGTAAATTCACGCTCTAACCACTTGGACCACCTAGCCCAAGCTGAACGGTCATTACCATTATTTTGTTTCACATTATCTACTTGAGGGTTTGAGGTATAGGCACCTCAGAATGCCTGTAAAAGGCTAGTATCAGTTTCCTCCCTCGCCCGTTCTTTTCATTCATTTGTTATTTGATGCTTTAGGTGTAATTAAATATACGGCAGTGAAGCGCTAGTGTCAACACCGATGTTGCTGTCTCTGGTGATCACCAAGTGAAACACGCGGCGGCCCTTGTGGAGCGCATTCAGTTGAAGAATAACATGGGTGGGAGATTCGGCTCGGATTTAATTCAGTCTCCGTTGGCACCAGATTTATTTGAAAATGAGTGAAGTCCGTTGGAATAACTTACTTTTATAAGTAGATTGAACACTACGAAGCGGTTTCCATATGCGAATGCAACAGACCTACATACACTTCAAATTCGGCTTTTAAAATAGGTTGTGACAAGTTGCCTTGAGGTCTACTTTGTTTGGACTTGAGATGGCTTGACAGTTAAGGCACGAAACTACTGGTCAGAAGGTTCGTGTTAACGTCTAGGCCTGGACAACCCAACTTTCGTGTTTTCAAGTGCGTCATATCGTCTATGCACCGAGGGGTGCCGCGGCTGAACAGCTCCACTTCGGGTGTCAAGTGTGATGAGGCAGCTTCCTGCAGTCCTCGAATCGTGGCAACCGAAGCACGATGGTCGGTAACGAGGCTCTGAGAACCAGTGGCCGAGCGTTGGTTCCAGTGACGTGGTCGTCGACAGCCTGTATACCTACATTTGAAGGTGCCGTAAGTGCAGTGATCATAGCTCAATAAGAACCATTCGGCTGTGACACCCTTTCAGTGCCTAGTTGCTATGCCACCCGACGGAAGCACGAAGGCTGCAATTTTGCCAGGATGCCCAAGCCTGGAAAGAAGCCGAGATGCAGGGGTCAGATTCGACCCACGGGCCTTCCGGTTCGTAAATTCGCGCTGTAGTCACTGAGTCACCTCGACCCGCTTAACGTAAACCTTACCTGTCCCAAAAAATCATCTTCAAACAATTAGCCGCAAATGTCTTCGCAGCATAGCTGTTCGCACTGGCTAGATTAGTGAACGGGCGGCTGGTGATAATTCGGGTCTGCAAGAGCAGCAGGCAGAAACCTGTCAAGTTACGTGCGCTATGTAGGCCCGATCACTATCTAGAGACAGGCAATGATGCGACGTGCGAAGAAACCCGAGCACGGTAAGAACTTCGCACTTACCCAGCCATGGACTATGTGGTCCTCCTTGCGCATGTTTGGAAACCGTGTAGAATACGACGAAATTCCACCGGTTTCATTCAAAGACGTCAAGATAGTGATTGTAAGAAAACCCATCAACCTGTTATCTACTGTTTGATGGGGACAAAAAGTACACTGTCTTGGAGGAGCCCATCATTGACCTGATCTTCAAGAAAGGGTCGCAGATGTGATCGTACTAACCGAAAGGGGATCAGTCTAATTTCGGTGGCTCCGAAAATACTAGCTTCCCATTTCTCCGAAGCACACACGGAAAGAAGTCCAAAAAACTAAAGACTACACGGACCAAACTTTCACCCTCCGTCAGATGTGCGGACACCACCAGATTCACCAGCAACCAACCGTACTGGTTCCCTCCTGATCAGAGGGGATGGTGAAAACCTCTGTTGATAGTTGGGGTACGTGATAAACATGTCGTCATTGATTTGGGTCTATAAAACATGGTAGCTAAAATTCAAGTTTATGGTGAGACATCGTTCTTCATTAACTTCGCTGTGGATATATTCCGCAAGGCGGTTAAAAGATGAAT